CGTCGAACCAATGTTGAAGTTCGGCCAACTGTTCGGGTGTAAGTTCCATTATGTTTCGTTTTCCAAAAATATTGATATTCCAGCCGTCGAACCAACGTTGAAGTTCAGCCAACTGTTCGGGTGTAAGCTCGTGTAGGCTTCGTTTTCCAAAAATATTGATATTCCAACCGTCGAACCAACGTTGAAGTTCAGCCAACTGTTCGGGTGTGAGTTCCATTATGCTTCGTTTTCCAAAAATATTAATATTCCAGCCGTCGAACCAACGTTGAAGTTCAGCCAACTGCTCGGGTGTAAGTTCCATTGTGCTTCGTTTTCCAAAGATATTGATATTCCAACCGTCGAACCAACGTTGAAGTTCGGCCAACTGTTCGGGTGTAAGTTCCATTATGTTTCGTTTTCCAAAAATATTGATATTCCAACCGTCGAACCAACGTTGAAGTTCAGCCAACTGTTCGGGTGTGAGTTCTATTGTGCTTCGTTTTCCAAAGATATTGATATTCCAGCCGTCGAACCAACGTTGGAGTTCAGCCAACTGTTCGGGTGTAAGATCTTCTACGCTTCGTTTTCCAAAAATATTGATATTCCAACCATCGAACCAACGTTGGAGTTCAGCCAACTGTTCGGGTGTAAGATCTTCTACGCTTCGTTTTCCAAAAATATTGATATTCCAACCATCGAACCAACGTTGAATTTCGGCCAACTGTTCGGGTGTAAGATCTTCTACGCTTCGTTTTCCAAAAATATTGATATTCCAACCATCGAACCAACGTTGAATTTCGGCCAACTGTTCGGGTGTAAGATCTTGTACGCTTCGTTTTCCAAAAATATTGATATTCCAACCATCGAACCAACGTTGAATTTCGGCCAACTGTTCGGGTGTGAATTCATTTACGCTTCGTTTGCGACCGATGTTGATGTTCCAGTTGTCAAAACAGCGTCGAAGTTCGGCCACTTGTTCAGTTGTGATTTCAGGTGTGTCGCGCTTCTTGCCGGGCCATGGAATGGTGAAGCTCACGCCATTAAAACAACGTTGAAGTTCGGCTACTTCTTCAGTTGTGAGTTCACGTGCACTGTGTTTCGTGCGTAGCCATGGAACGTTGATCGTCCAGTTATCTGTCCAGTATTTCACTTTAAAAAAATAGTAGATTAATCAGTCATTGTTCTAGAAGAAGTTTTCTAGAAGCCTTTGAAGAATTTATGTTGATGTCATGTGATCTGCAAGGGTTTATGGTAGTGAACGTATGTGAGGATGAAAGGGACATACGTATAACACATATTTTTGGGGTTCATTATTCATCGTTTCATGAAAAGATTTCAGCATTCCGTGTGAAATGGTCCGTGCTTATACCATTTTGGTCGTACGGTCGATAATTGTTAATTATTTATGAGATGAGTTTATTATTCTGTACGTCATGCTAGATCTGTCTGCTTTTGCAGCACAAGGGTTTCTTATTCAAAGCACAAATGGAGATTATTTTACGCTTTTGTTTTACTGCGAGGCCATTCTGATAGTCTTTCTGTATCATATAAGAAGAATAACGCATAACATAATGTGGCTTAGTTTTCTCTCCTATATTTAAGTAGTTCAATAGAAGCTCATCGGAAACCTTCGGATCAAGTTTTGGTGTAACGGTTCTATTGGAGTGCATTATATGGATGATAGTTATTGCTTCCTTACTATTTCATTTTATCCTTGTCATCGTCCTTGCTGTTTTGTTGTTGTGTTGATGTCCTTCTCATTTCTCCCCTTTCGTTCTCTCTGATGATTGCATATATAAACGTGGGCTTTTCATCAGAACGATACGAATGATGATGTGAAGAAACCAAATAAAGTGTAATACCATCAACGCTAGCTACTCTTCTATCAGAAATCGTCACATTTGGTTCTTAGAATCTGTTCCTTTTCCGTAATTGAACTTGGTATTTTCGGAACTATCTTCGCTGATCTTGTGAGTCTGAATTGATTGTCTTCCGCAGTTTTTTTCGAAAAAAAAATCATATTTCGCAGTGATTGTCCCAGAAACAACTTTTGTGTTGATGTCCTGTGGCATGTCAATCTGATACACAAAATTTTACTGGTTCAGGACAGTTGTTGTTGCCAGACGGACTCATTATTTTAAGAACCATCAGTAAATTATAAAGGATAAGAAAAAATATCGCCGTTTCGTGCTATATTGTTCGATATGCTTCTACCTCTTTTGACTAGGGATGCACCAATTCTAAATCCAGTCAAATTCAAACCCAGAATTGGTTTTGAATTTCACCTGATTTAGAATTGGTGTATCACTATCATACGCTCACATAACCACTTACATCTATGTATTCGTGCCTACGCCGACAGATTTTCGGCTACACCAACGGGAAATAGCCTCGCACTGGAAAATAGTAAAAGCAAGGGCGAAGGAAAAATGCTTTCGGATAGGAACGCAAAAACTAACAGGGCTTCGTCGCTTACGCAATATATAGAGTGTGGTGAAGAAAGTTCAATGCATACATTTCTTTTTTTACGTTCATTGTCCCTGGGACTTTCGATGATAATCTGTCGGTTCACATACGGTTTTGCGCTATGCACATATTAGTTTGAGACAGCAGTCATCAAGACTCATCAATCTATAATAAATATCGGGTGCTTCATAAAAGTAGCAATATCAGTACCATGTTTTCGTCGCTCAGAGTTAATTTTTTGTTTTAAAGACAATGGACTCAGTTCTCTAAAAAAACCTAAGCGACAATTTCAATAACAGATCTAAATCTGAAAAAGTAGACTACAAATAGCGAAATACACCACTATAATTTTTTTAACAATAATTTGTTTCGCTTCAACTTTTTGCAGCTGAGTGTAACACATAGACAATCTGAACACACTAACTCGTAACCCTTGAAAAGCTTTATCCTTCAGCAACAAGTTCATATTCTTCGCGTCTGGCGTTTTTAATAATGAGGCTCTCTCTCCTTTTATGGTTTTTCAGCTTTGCATGGATTTTCGAACTGCTGCATATCGCGCTAAAATTATGCGCTAATGGTCGAAATTGGTCTGTTTGAAGTTAAACTAATGCGCTTTTTTAAGAAATACTCGTCTTATATCAGGCTAACTTAATGAAATCGGTTCAAGTTTTGTTATCCATGATATTAACTGGAAGAAACTGCTTATGGACGTTTGAATTCGTACTACAAGGAATATTGCCTATGGGCCTCATATCTGACTCCAATGAGATCTGCTAAGTGTGAAGAAACATACAACAATAGAAAAAATAATAAACTGGTCTCAGAACACTTGAATGGCCTAAATTTGGGAATATTGCTAAACAATGTCTATTAAACAGCTCTGAAAAAAGGGTTCTGCTATTATTTGTCATTGTTTGCACCCGCTTTTTTCAAGTTCTTCTTTTATAGCAAAGTGTTGCTTCGCTTTTTTTCAGAGAACTGCATGGGAAAGCTTCCTAAAAAATTGCACTCTGGGCAATTAAAACTGACAGAGATGTCGACAAAATGTTGAAGCCACTATCATTATGAAACGCCAAATAAACCTTCAGAAGTTCCATCTCGAACGCTTTACAATAAAAAAATAGATTTCCCATGATTTAACAACGAAACCAGTTGTTTCTCAAGTCAATGATTGAAAAGCGTCGAATGACTCTCGCGTCAGAACCGCTGCAGGTGTTCAATCGCTTTTAAGCTGAAATCGTAGGTCATACGCCGCCTAGTAACTCAATAGTCAAACTCTAAATGGATTCTGGCGAATATCTTTTCGACGGAATAATTGACATTTTTGCTTCACTTTTTTTCTAAGCTCATCACTTTCGAAACAATTTAACGAGCGAATTTTGGATGTGTGGGCCTAGAAATAGATGAATGAGACCGCTGAGAGGTGGATGTGGATGTGGATGTCGCGCTTCTCTTCATTACGTCAATCTAAGGCACCCATTCACGCATCCAAAGCAGCACACGCTGATGATTTATTTCGGTAGGAAATACCTTCATATGATTGAATGGCTGTTATCTAGCCGTCTTGGCTACTTAGACAATAAAATCTAGTTATAATGGTTTCAACATTTAAAATCTCACCATTTGTTAGCGGTTGCTGTCACCTAAGACATCGTTAGCCCATTAGATATACCCTATGATACGATACTTTTCACATGAGAACTCTCCCACACTTAATTGTAAAATAGATGAAAGTATTACGAGGATCACTTACCGTTCTCAGGCTGAAGGCCATCATTAGCAGATTGTGCGTGTTGAATGTTCATACCCAGAACGACGCTAGTCGCCATCACGAAGACAAAACTCAAAAGAGCACGCGAATTCATTTGTGTCGAAGCAATCCTTTCCAATACTGTTAATGGTAGGGAGCGATTTCTCTTTATATACTCCTGAGTTTAATGCATACTTCTTTCACTGTGGGGGAATCAACCATATGGTGTCATATGACTATTCTAATTCAAAATATCTATGAAGAGCGATAAGCGGCAGCTTTCTTGGGAAAAAATCCATCCGACGGGTGTATGAAGCTTTCTCCATGATTCTCTACCTGGACATACAAATGCATGTGACGCTACTCAAACGGCTGAGGGTGTGGATCTTTCTCTAAACCTATTCCAAGGTCCACACCCAGAATTCAGTCTTGCAGGTGAGTATCGGTTAGTTTGCAGGTGAGTGTGGATGCGAATCAGTGCCGATAACGGGTTGTGAATTTGGTTGGGGATGAGTCTAGTTGTGGATGAATTTGGGTGTGGATAGATTCGAGCGTATATACGTTTGGGTGTAGATATGTGGGTGGGGATTGCTTTCAATGTCGATGCTACCCGCAACGTGTTTGAGTGTGGATTGTAGTGATGGTTTTTGATGTGGGTGTGTTTAGACGGGCTTGAGTTTTAGTTTGCATATGTGAAAAGGGTCGGATCTCGTAGTGAATGTATGGGCATGGGTAGCTTTCTGTGTGAAGAGTTCAGATTCGGTAGTAGGTCTGGATATGAGCAGTTTTGTGGATTTAAAGAAGACTCACATCCTCCTTTCCGCTCGATCGGCATCTTGTACAGTTATATATTTAGATAGAGGATTCAGTGCAAGTCTCGTACACGGGTCTGATGACTTTTCCCTAGGGACAACAGCGTACTTTGAGAAGCGAAGTACATCAAAGTACAATAGTAATTCAGAGTGTCTAGAAGTAGCTCAAAGTACATGAAACTAATGTAGCTCAAAATATTCAGGAGTAGTTTCAAGTGCACCGAAATACTTTGAAATTACACCGAAGGTCGTTGAATTATGCCAAGACATCTAAAATTGCATGAAATTACTTAAACGTGGGTGTGAGATAAAAGATGAAGATGAGAACTCGAGCACTGTCGAGTCAAACTTGCCATTTCAAAGTTCGACTCGGAGAAACGCCGAAAATTGGTTTTGAGTAACATGTTATTCTTCTTATGCTATTTGCTAATGAGAGATTGTCTTTGATGTTTTTCACGTCAAGCTTATAATTCGATAAATTAGTTTACTTTTGTTAATTATTTGAGACTTCGAGAAGAAACGGATTACATAAATTTTGGCCCGCCTACTCACTAACCTCATTTATCCTTCCCTAAAAACATCTATTTTTTAAAAATTAGCTACGAGTTATCGTAGTGCTGAGAAGGACGACCCAATGGTCAGCAAGATATCAGGGGTGTGCGTGTGTATAGCGGACACCCGCACTCAGACTCCACATCCTCACCCACACACAGGTTCCACACCCTCACTCACATTCAGACTCCACACCCCCACCCACACACAGGTTTCACATCCTCACCCACACACGGGTTCCACATCCTTACCCTCACCCACACCCACACTCAGACTCCACACCCCTCACCCACACTCAGACTCCACATCCTCACCCACGCACAGGTTCCACACCCTCGCCCGTACACAGGTTCCACATCCACACCCACACACAGGTTCCACACCCTCACCCGCACTCAGACTCCACACACAGGCTCCACACCCACACCCACACACAGGTTCCACACCCTCACCCGCACTCAGGCTCCACACACAGGTTCCACACCCACACCCACACACAGGTTCCACACCCTCACTCGCACTCAGACTCCACACACAGGTTCCACACCCTCACCCGCACTCAGACTTCACACACAGGTTCCACACCCTCACCTACACAGGTCTTACACCGACACCTCACTCGCACCATGTCGCTGAACACTATTTTGTCCTGCTCAGTGCTACAATTTCCAGCAACTTATTAAAATAAAAAGGTTTCGTTTAGGGGAAGATAAATGAGGTTAGTGTATAGGCGGACCAATAGTTGTAAAGAAATTTCTGTCCGGGCGGAAAATTCCGTGGCTCGAAATTTTGGTCTCCCAAAGACCCTTGTCACTATGTAAGAGTAAATATATTTCACTATTTTACTGATGTGATCCAGACATTGACTCCGAAAAAGACTCTTAACGATCACTACGGCTCTTACTAGGAAAGAATTTCTTTTAGTGAATCCGGCTCTGACTTCCACCTGCTCGAAGTCGGACTTCAGCTTCTGGTATATGACTCTTGTAAGGATATTCTCTTATCAAATATTCACTACTACATCCCTTCATGTCTGAAGCAGGACTGGAATGGTCTGTCACGATTCTTCTTACCTTAATCGGCAGACAACCAACAAAAAGTCAGTACATTTATATCTATCAACCAACCTATTGCTTCTTTCTAAAACAGTTTATTAGTACAGTTGCACGAAGATATATAAGGTAAAATTTGTATATTCATTGGAATTTCTTATAGTAGCAGCTTCTATTTTCGTCTGTCGTGTTCCACCATTAGCTAAAAATAAGAACAAAGGAAGAGCTCTTGCAAAACGTCTCATCCCCTAACTTTTAATAATTGATATTGGACAATATATATGCTTTGTTTGCCTAGTTTTCTTTAGATAAATTGATAAATTTGACGTTTGTCTTGTATTTGAAATCATTATTTAACACAGCTGAAATGCTTCTCATTCCATACAAGCCTACTGTTCAAGCAGACAAGAACTTGAGAAAAAACGTTTAAACACCATGAAAATTGTTTTCTTTGGGCGTTCAAATGCAAATCTGGTAAATGATCGTAAAAATCGTTGAAAAGAATAAATTTTAGCTCGTATATGTATATATTTTGCATTTCAATTGTGTGTGCTCTCTTACACATGCAGGGTGTGAATTGTATATACTTTTCAGGCCCATTACTGTCCACACACATGGAAATGCTTTAAAAAAGTCGACCTTTTAAACGTTCACACGTGTTTTGAGAATTTTTTGTCTGTCCAGATATAACCAATAGGAAGACGAAATGAGCTAAAAAAATTCGATCTTTACACTACACTTCATATTTTTGGGTTTGATAATACCTAGACACAGTTACAGTTACACAAGACAGCAAGCGGCCAAGCTGACATAACAAATCAGAATCTTTTATTATATTCATGTAAAGAAAACATGAACTGGCACTATTTAGTAGCCATGAAGAGTGTCTGATAGTCGGTTAAAAGCAGCCTAGAAAAGTAAGCTCGACATGTCGTGGTAGACAATGTTTAATTTATATTGAATATAACTTCTAATCACTGGATAACTTTTCATGACCACAATCAATGTATTCAACATGATTTGACGCCCTTATTTTGCTATGAGAATATGTGAATTCAAAATTTAGAGCTGCGATTTTGACGATGTCGAGAAACGCGTTACTTGGAAACTGCGCTCATATTGTTGAACTATTAAAACCGTGACAACCAGCAAAAACGAAGAAAATTGCTTAGCTTTAGTCCCCTCAAAATTGATAAAAAGTCCGAACCAAAAAAAGTAAAAATCAGCCGACTTTGAAAGTTCAACCAGACACTGAAGCGGATTGCGAGTTCGGTTCCAAGCATGCACCTTACACTCGCACTGAACAATATCATTCGACAAAACGATGCCGTCTCAGAACATTGTTGTCTTCTCTGTTTTAATTCATTTGAACTTAATTCTAATCATCTGTTTTTTTATTTTTTATTTTTGTAAAGTAGATCATTACAACGCTATTTTAATGCTACAATTTGGATCGTCTTTTTGCTCTGGTACAGATAGAGTTTATTATGTTATATTATTTATTAAGAAAAAACAGAACGACCCTTGACCTAACATCTAAACTTTGTGCGTGCAGCTATATTGAGAAATTTTAAAGTATTTTAAAGTATTTTAAAGTACTTTAAAGTGGCTTCACGTAGCTTAAAGTAGTCTAAAATAGTTGAGAGTATGTATGAAATAGATTAAATTCGCTTGAGGTACTTCAAGTTAACACAAATTTACTTTAAGTACAAAAGTATGCAGTTTTCGCTTAGTTTTTTTCTGAGGAAAATCAACGCTCATTGCTCTACATAGATATTTCGAACTAGATCAGTCACAAAACTTTACATGTTAGGCTCTCACAGAATGAAAGAAATAGTTGTGAGACTCAAAAATAGAGAAACAGGAATCATTGCCTATAATTAATAATATTGTCAAAAATTGAGGCCAGTCACATGAATTCATGTGCTCCATTGAGTTTTGTCTTCATGATAGTGGCTAGCGTCGCTCTGGGCATAAACACTCAACACTCACAATCTTCTCTCGCTGAAAGTTTCAATGCAGAAACAGTTTTGAGAAATGAGGACAGAAAAGCGAAACCTACGGTCGCAAAAGTCATGGCGAACTTGGCTACTGCCATCAAATTTCCGAATTAGAATTGATGTCTGAGTAATGCTGCGAAAATCAAAGAAATAGCTCATGATAGTTTGTGAACTGAGGACGATGAGTAATTCTCATAATGCAATCACGTATTTTACAGTTAGATATTGGAGAGTTCCCATGTGAAAAGTATCCCATCGTAGGCTATATCTAATGAGCTAATGATATCTTAGATCACAATAAGAGCCGGAAAATGCTGAGATTTTAGAAGTTGAAGCTACTGTAAGCAGGTTTGGTTGCCTAAGTCGTTTACGATGAAACATCTCCAAATGTCAAATCGCTTTTCGCGTAAAACTACTGCCTTTTGATGGGTCTTGGTACATAGTAAAAACTGTGTGTTTTTGTTCGGTCTTCTTTTGTCAAGTTATGAGCGTTTAACTTGATTTTCAGGCTACGAATCTAAATGATTGAGTTTCCAACTGAAGCTTTGCCCATAGATAGTTGTTATAGTTACTAGAGACTCTCCAAAGTTTGAGTTAGAACGACCGCATTCTTACTAAGATACTTTCATTTTGAAGAAACACTTGTTTTCGGCTGTGTTTGAAAACAAGGACTTCTTCATGACAAGTTGATATCTTGATAAGAATGCTTTCGTTTTAGTCCAAACTTTGCAGACTTTCAAGTGCCTATAAAATCTATCTATCGGCAAAGATTCAGCACAAAACTCGGTCATTTAGGTTCTTAGACATCTTAAGATCATAGCCCGAAAATCGAATAAAACGCCTATAAGGCAACAAGAGAAGATCGCTAAACCAAACCAAAACAAACTTTTTTACTATTTATCAAGACCAATCGAATGATAATAATTTCAAGAGAAAAGCAATTTGACAGTTGGGGACGTTTCCTCATCATTTTACATTTCGAGAGAAGAATGTACGTAAAACCCCACTGTTGATTCGTTAAAGTTTGATGTTTAATCATTTCCAGTTTTCACTTTTTTCAATCGAGACCTTATCGTTACATTCTCAGTTAAGCTTAATGAATTATGTATGAGAAACAGTCATACTTCTAGTGTATTTCGTACATCTACATTACATATTACTAGAACTTTTTGGAGCCCCATGATATTCTAAGAATTTCTATCGTATTCCATGAGTTTTGCTGTACTCCCAAGATCCCAAGAACTCACAGCGATTCAGAATCTTGTAAATCCACTGATTTTCTGTTCGCATAGAATCTTGATAATGATTGAACTGTTGTTACTCAATTTACTTTTGGTATTTCAGCTTGATGTAATTGAGAATGATTCTATAAAATACATGAATCATTCATTGAATCATTTAATGTTCGAATACAGTGGCGGGCCACCATGGTGGCATAGTATGGCAATTGCCATACCAAAATTTTTTATTCGCTATGGGCTTTTCTGTACTACTGTTTTTTTATTCAGTCTTTAATCGAGAGTCAGCAAAAGGAAAAATAAGACCAGAAGTGACTCCTGCTTTTCTATAGAGGTATCCTCAGATACGCTCGATTTTCCCGTTTTTCTAGAGCTGATATAGACATTGATTATTTGTTCTTTTTTTTAGTTTTTATGGAATTTAAAAGTGTTTTCAGGATAGTTTTTAACCAAGAAAAGAAATATTAGCTAAAGCCTTATGTTTTCAAGAACATTTTATTCATACTCTATTCTTTGAATATTATGCTTTGCTATTGGTTTCAAAATGGGAAAGTATCAGTACCATTGAAACGTCTTGAACTTTAAGGAGGTAATGAAGTAACGTTCGTAATTAATCAAAACATATAGTATAAAAATCCTTTAAACATATGTTTATCTATTGATTTATTTAAAGTAACTTATATTTCATTTCAACGAATATATTCTTCATCTTCAAAGTAATAAACTTTCTATAATACATTCATATGTGGATATAGATAAATAGAGGAGAAGAAAAGAAACTGAACAGAATTAGACCACTTAATCATGAGAAAGGCTACTACATTAGAAATTTCTTAGCATGATAATCGAAGTATATGAACAAAATTTAAGGTTCGGCTTTGTTTTATAAGTTTCTTACACTTTTTAATAATTTTGCCATACCAAAAAAATGACCCTGGTCAGCCGACGTTCGAGTACTATCTAAAACTACACATAAATGGTAATACATGGTATATTTGTTTTGATGGTAAATCAATGTAGAATTCGATTTATAGTTGGTTTGCAATTTCATCTTGAACAAATTATCCTACAGATCTCTTCTTTGGATATATGCGTTGTGTCAGTTCATTAAGAAGTTATCCGTGAGTAAGTAGATCATAACTAAAGGCAATTCTACGTGATCATCATAATGATTATGCTTGTTCAAATGTTTGAATAATAGCTGTCTAATTTAAAATGTATTCTATTGGGCCTCACTCATATGGTATTTCAGCACTACGAGAGAAAATATCTAGTAACTGGTAGGTTTTCTTTGTGATTCAGTGCATATTTAGACCAATATTATGTGATTAATTCTGAATAGTCAATTAATCCTTCTTTGAACATAGAATGCAATTATAATATCAAATGAACCTTTGATGGGTGAAAAAACTAACTGCACTGCACTAATGTCATATGGTTCAGTCAATAAATGATCAAACAAGTCACTACATAAATCTACAACTAATTTTCTATGATGATAGACTGCTACTGAAGCACTTAAATTTGATTGTTCTACAAATTTCTCTTTGAATAAATCACGAACAAGTTCTCATCTAATAGCAGTTATTTCATCGATATTATAAGAATCATAGTTAGGAGAATAATATAGCTTATATGAGAAAAATTCAAATCCAAACAAAGCAGCCAACTATTGTAAGTTATTTCATACTCGTTTTAAATTGAAGATGGATCGATAAAACGACCAAGATTACTGATACAGTTTTATAAATATCAAATAAAAGGATAAGACAAATATTAGAAGATACTTGTCTAGGCAAAACGTAAAAGATTTGTTCTTTGAGAATATTGTTTTTAACGTAACGTAATATTTTAGGAAATTCAAAAACAGATTTAGTAACTTTTCTGATATTAAATAATTACAAAACAGTTATAATATAATCTACTTTATTGAATTACTTTATTAAAATTTTATCAGAAATCAACTTTTGATTGAACAATCTCTATTTTCCACTAACTGAAATATATTTCTTGTAGGCATTCATTAGAATTGAAGTAGAAATTGATATAAAATGAATACAAGAATTCTTTCGATGTTTCGAACAATTTTTTGAATATGCAATATACAATTCAATGAACAACGGACTGAAACTTTTCTATATATCAAAGAAAAATACGTAATCTAAAGAATCTTTCTTATCATTGATGAAAAAACGTTTTACTCATTCGAATTAGAAGCGTAAGTGAAATTCTCTTCGTACACCGTGAAATCATGATGCAAATAATTATAAGACATAAACATGCATAATTCTTTGTTGCTTCATTTTACATTTGAATAAATCAGTGCCAAATCTTGGAAACTTGATCTAGTTTTCTTTTTCTTAAATATATTTTCGTATATCTGTTCAATACGCCCATAACCAAGAGAATCTATCACAAGAAAAAAAGAAAAATATCATCAACGAGAACAAACACATACAACATGCATAAGAAAGAACAAAAAAAACAGCACCGGTCTATACAATAATCTATATCTGACATTTGACTTTCTATGTTAGAGTTCATACGAAAAAAAAATAATAAATTTAATAATGTTGATATGTATTTAAATTATATCGAAAACGTTTCGTTGGTGGTGCAGGAGGTTCACCATATCGTTTATTATTTATATTTGATGGATCTTGTTGTGAATGATAAAAAAGTGGCGTTTGTTGTTGAGGATAATATGAAGAAGTATTAACATAATTTGAAGAATATTGATGATGAAAATGTTGAGCATGTAATGGTGGTGGAGGCGGGCGAAAAACATGTTGAGTTGGAGATGAAGATGGATATTTGAAAATAGGAGCAGACAAACGTGAATGATGATTTGAAACAACAGAATTATTATATGAATTTGAAGGTAATGGAGTCATTAATGTTGGAATTGGTTTAGCTGATGACATACTCATTGATGAATTATTTGGATCTAATTTAAGAAAAAACAAAAGAAAATTTAATTCTCTATAAATATAAATATAAATATTCATTTACGATTTTTTCCACTAAAATTATTTTGATTATGTCTTGGTGAAAATGATGATTGAAAAACTGTTGCTGGTGAATCAACAATTGCTCCAGTCAATGGTGAATAATCACTATGAGAATAATTTATTAAAGATGATTGATTTGGTGTATGATGATGAGTTTCTATTGATGCAGAAATGGAGCCTATATAACAAAATAAAATAACAAATTGAACTTAAATATCTCTTACCATATTCACAGAAATTTGATTGTTGTTGTTGTTGTTGTTGTTGTTGTTGTTGGATTGATGATGAAGAAGATGTTGTACTTCTCACTGAACCACTTGTTGTTGTTATTGGATAATGATGTTGCTCATTATCATGAAGAGATGTTGTTGAATTTGATTGTTTACAATCTATACAAAGAGAGACAAATGAAATCATTTTGTTTTCTTATAAACTAACTTGATGTTGATTTCAATTGTTGACAATTGATTTTCTACGAAAAAGGTAACATTTTTCTTAGCATAAGTAAATAAAATATTATTTTTACTGTTTGTTGTCGAATTTGTTCGAAACGTTCTTGAGATTTTTTTGAAGATTTTTCCATACAAATTAATTTATATTCATCGACAAGTTCTATTAAAAGAAAATAAACAATTTAAATATAATATTAATATCCTATCAATTGAACCTTGAAGTAATTTCTCAGTAAATTCTTCATTAAGTAAATGAAACCATTGGCTACCATCTTTATTATCTGGTATCTAAATTATAGAAAAAATAATTTTAATTAATTAAAGATAAATAAAATTACAAACATTTATTTGAGATGATTTTATAGCCAAATAAAGTGCAAAACAAGCAATTAAATTGGTTGTATATTTCATTGAAAAAAGAGTAAAGAAAATACTATCACAAAATTACAGAACGTATTACAAATAATAAATTATCTTCTCTTACGATTTAGTAGCAATTTCACAAGCTTTTTGAGCTATTTCCTTTGGTACTAACCATAAAATCAAAATAGTAAAATGTAATTCTTTTATTTTAATTTACTTGATAATGTTTGAGAAGTTCTCGTTATAATCATGTATGGTTGTTCAACATTTAGACAAAAACCTACATAAAAAACAAAAAACGAAAATCTACAAAATTTCTTTAGATTTAAATAAAAAACCAAGAGTTGATAATAGCATATTTTCATAATCGATTATTTGTTGATTATAATTTGAAAAAATCTAAAAATATTCTTCATCTTCTTGAACATCATAAAAACAACAATTTTTTTGTTTGACTGACTTCACGTGTGATATTTCCCACTGTTGTTATTGATGAAGATACAGATAAAAATTCTTCACTGTTATTATGTATTTGATTGACAAGTTGACATAAATGTCGAGTAAATTCATTTAATGGTCGTGGCATTTCATTGGCTTTACAGGCAAGAAAAAGACATGCTGCTGCTACTGACTAGAAACAAGATTTTTAATTATTTTAATTCGGTAAAATGGAAATAAATGATCCAATTCACACAATGGAGAAATTTTGAATGCATTGATAATGAACACAATAAAATCTTTTTTAAATCAACAATGTCGGGACTTTTGAAAAATATGAACTATTGAGAGATGTTCGTCTATATATGTGAATTCGATGAATATGGCTGCGAAAATCATTCAAATATGTATTCATCAAGTTTTATTAAGCCAAAACTTTTCAATATTCATTTAATATTTTGATTTTGGTTTATTGAATAATCATTTAAATATTCTCTTTTGCTGTTTTAAAATATTTGATAGAGAGAGAGAGAGAGAGAGAGAGAGAAAGTGAGAAAGTGAACGTATGTTCATTTAAATCAGACTAAAATAACAACCAGAACTGTAAAAATAATGTTAAATTTCAGTGTTGGAAGGTGTTTACTACCTATGAGAGGTATTTACGAATAGAGTTTTCGCTGTATTTTGGTTTACATGGTAATAATGGTTAGTTTTTTTAAGGTGAACTGAATAAAAGTTAAGGCCACACTGCCTCAATAGTTCTAAATAACATGTAAAGCATAGATTTACTGTAGTTTTGTTTCCTTTATATTTCAATGTTGGATTATTATAGAAAGCTAACTTTTTGATACAAGTTAGTTCATAATCTCTTCTATAAACTTTATTGGCAAATGTTTTAGTTCGATATAATAGTTTTATGTAACATACTGATTAGTTTTATTGTTTGAAATACGTTTTCGTAACATGAAAAAGTAAATGAAGTAGCGACTGATCCTATGTAATATGAAAATTTACTTTAAGAAATCTACTTGTATTTTATCTTATTGAATTTTTCACAAAAAAACAAAACATGCCCTGGATTTGAACTTAAAATTCTTGGAGTTAAACAGAAATCAATTTGAAAACTTCGAATGTGCATTATAGAGATCAGACAATTCATTATGAAAACCTGATAAAAGTTTCTTGCTGAAACATATATTGATCAAACTATTGTAAATATTCAAGATGACAAAAAAATTGTCCTACTTAAAATTGACAATTTTAACAAACAATGATCTTGAAATATATTTTATTATTCTTCAGCAAGTAGAACTCATGTTTTAAAATATGATCGATAAATACAATTGAAATACTTAGCAAACAAAATTTTTAGAATAGTTTATAGAAAGTCTTTTTTAAAAAAAAAATAGTTGATTTCTTATCATACTCATACATTGTAATATTAAAGAAACTAAAATTAATTCCAAACTTTCGTTTCACTCGTTATTACACTGGAACAACTCGTTGGTCTACAAAACTTAATATTAAAAAATTTTTGTCTTGATTATATTTTATGTCAATCAATTCTTTTAAAATCTTATAATTAAAATAATTTTCTTACTTCTTTAAGACATTGTTGAAATGGATGTAACATAAAAAATCGATGCATATAAACAACACCCGTATAAATGCAAGTAAATGACCTTTTAAAATCAATAGATTATCGAATATATATTTGATTAATATACTCACACATTTAAATGTAAACCAAGATCATAAATAAGAATAGATAATTCTTGTCGTTTAATAAGTTCATCATCAATATTTAATGGTTCAATATTAGATGTTGATGATTGTTTTGAAATGCAACTAGGTAAATTATCGAATTTCGGCGGAGGAAAACGCCAAATAAACTTTGATTTCCATATAGAAGATGATGATGACGAATGTGAATAAACAGATGACTTTGGTGGAAGTTTTGATAATGATAATGACGACATATATCAAAAAAAAAATGGAAAGATACAAACAAATATATTTCAAAGTATGAAAAACCATTTTTAATATTCATCTTTAAATCAAAAATTTTATAGAAACTTTTGTAAGAACAACTAAGTGTTTGGTCAAGAAATAATTTTTTCAAAAATAATTTATAAATATATTTTTTATTCAATTTTATATAAAAATTGTTTAAATCCATTAGAACCAAAATTTAATATTTATCTTGCATATCGATCAATGTATTTATTCCATGTATGTCTTATGTGAAGACTTAGGCATTGATTTAAATAGACAAAAGCTCTCTATGGTATCACAAAATATACTGAATATTCTTCTCTTCCAATCACTAAATTATTTATAAAAAAAAAAAAAAAAAAGAAAAGCTTTTTCAAGATCGAAGAGGTCACCACAGTTTCGATTAATAATTATCTCCTTTCATGTTGACTATCAGTTTTTTTTACTTAAGGAAATAATAAAAAAAAAATGGGTTAAAACAGAACACTCATCCATAATAAAGATCCCTAATTTTTTACTGAATAAAGATTATATGAATTAATAATATACATCAATTGTATTAACCATAGATTATTTCTTTGTTTATAACATAATTCAAAAAAAAAGAGAATAAACAACAAACAAAGAAAAAAAAAAAAAAAAACCGTTCGTCTTAAGGTAGTAGCAATATAAAAAAGAACACATACATCGAGGAAAAAAATACATATATGTATATATATATGTATATATAAATAATTAAGATAACTGTAATAGATAATAAACGACATTTTAATTGGAAGAAAATAATATGTTGATCACACATCTTCCTTGTGTCGTCTAGCTGATTTAAGTGCAACAAATTCTCTTGCTAATTCATCATTTGTTCTATGTGATAATATTCTTAATATAGTTAAACCTGTATCATCGAAATTAATACGAGAACCAAGTGGTACCCATGATGACCATGAACCTTGTTCACATACTTGGCATAATTTTATAACATTTAAACCAATTAAACGATCCTCACGCATAAATGAATAATCTTTTACAGCAATATTTAATTCATAACAATCTGGTTCTTCTTCATTTCCCAATAGACTAAAATAATTATTTCATTCGTTTTTTTTTTTTTTTTTATTCTCATTTTATTATTAAATAAAATAATGAAGAACTTACAAATGAAATGTTTCATTATATTTTGGTATCCATGTATTACTTTTTGTTTTTGTTGTTTGTTTACGTTTTTTATCACTTAAATGAGGACCACACATCGCTAATTCAACATATGGACGAAACATTCCTGATGTACGCCATTTAAGACCATTTGCAGCAACAACTAAAATAATAATAATAATTAAAATATATAATTATATTTCATTTCTATTTTTATTTTTATACCTTTTACAGTAACTTTATGTTCACCACTACCTGGATGTGTAAATAAATCCACTTGAATTGATACTTCACCAAAAGATTCTTCTAATGCTGGTCGATCTTTAATAAATAAATAAATAAATAAATAAATAAATAAATAAATAAATAAAAATAAATAAATAATGAATAAATATATTTACCTTGATCTCTTTCCGTTTTAACAAATGTTTTAATTAATGAATCAGTTGTTTGTGTATATAATGAAAGAGCATATTTAAGTGATTGTAATTCTAATGTTTTTTCTAAATAGTTTCGTTTTAAACCTTGTCCAGATGCATGAAAGAATTCTTTTAAATCTTCTAAACCTCTATCTAATATTTGACATTGTTTTTGAGTTAAACTTCTATCACTATCTCGACCTAATTCCTATTTAATTAAACAAATTTTTCTTATATATTTATAAAGCAAAAAGAAAAAAAAAATGAAAAATAAAATAACAAACCCCAGATAAAAGTCGATAAGCATCTTCTATTCTTGCTGATGGCATTGTTAAGAGGTGTTTAGAATCTGAGAATGGTGGTAAAACAATAACTTTTTCTAAATCACTGATAACAGCTTTCCATAATTCTTTTAGAAGACGTTTTAATACTGTTTTTTCACATTGATTTGCGAAGAAAGTTAATCTAAGAAAGAAAAATAATAAATTAACTATCAATAATAAATCAGATTCTATTTAAACTATTCATCTATTATAATACTTCTATTATTTTGACGTTTTAGATGATGATCTATATTACAAAAAAAACGATTTATTCATTTAATTATCTTGATACTTTTCAATTTGATTATAAAAAATAATTTCATCGAAGATATTTATTAGTCATTTCACTTTTATCGGTATAATTTCTAACATAAATTTAAAATGTTTTTCAAGTCAATATTGAAGAAACTTCAGAAAATAATTTCAAAATTCGTCGGATTAATTTATTCTTCTTGAAAAAATACATATTTGTAAATGACACTATGAACTTCTTTTGATATTTGTTTTAGATCCTTTTATGTCACTACGGATAATTGAATAAGTAAATATATGTTTTGATTTCAATTTATTTTCCCTTTTCACAAAATAATAAATAACTCTCATATTTGATTTGTAAACAACAAACTATTATTAAATAGACTTGTTAATCTTCGAACTAATTTTTTCTTTCTTTCTTTCTTTCTTTCTTTGGACATTAGAATTTAATTTTTACATATTAGACAAATCATTTTGTTTTCTATTTATATATATGACCTGTTAAATTCGTCAAGTTTTTCTAAATAGAATATTTCTAAGTGAATTAAATAAAAGTTTGTTTGATAATTCTCTACTTATATAATTAAAAAAATTTTTTTTTTTTTTGTTTTTTTTTTGTTATGAATACCTCTGATCAAGATAATCTAATAATGGTTTAGTAACAAGCATAGCTTCAGCTCCTTTTTGTTGTCCACTAGTATTTCCCGTTCCAATTTGATTTCCTTTAATTTGTTGTAATTGTTTATAAACTTCTTCAATACATTGTCTTATAGTTGGTTCAATACTTTTAACAAAAGTTGCACTTAATTCATCCAGAACATCACTTAATTGTTTTTGTAAATCATTAAGCATTGTTTTAGTTTCATCATCTAATTGTGCTCCACCCATTAATTCATATAATTGTTCTAAATTTAATCTTAATTGTTGAATATTATTCATTAATATAGAACAAATTCTATCTTGTCCTCCAGCATGTTCAAATGTCCGACGTATTGCATTTGCATAACCAAGTAAAACTTGTGATATAGTTACAGAAAAACGTTTCATATATTTGGCTATAACAATTGGATCATGAAGATCAAGAGTTTTTATTATTCCATGACATTGATTTAATTGTGTAAATACATCAACAACAGATGAAGAAAATAAACAATGTTCAGATGTTTGTTGAAACTAAATAATAAGAATAAAAATATATGTTTAAAATAAATTAAAATATTTTCTCAACTTACTCCTGTTTGTCGATCTTTTTCAAGTGCATTATGAAGATATTCCATAGACATGTCATCATTTTCATTAAGCCATTGCATTACAAATGGTTCAAACCATCTTAAGAAAAAAATTAAACATAAAAAATTAATTTGGTCAATTCAAGAAGAAAAAAAAAATAACGCTTGAAAAAAAGAAAAAGATCATGCCATTTTATTATTTTTGGCCGCGTTCAATCATGCGGGCAAAAAAAAAGCGCGCTTTCTCATGTATAATTGTTGTTTTTAATTTGATTACCGTTTAAACTCTCTTGGTGTATATGCACTGTATAGGATTAATGATTATTAGAAATAAGGAAGATGAATAAAATGTAAAAAGAAAATAAAAAATTACTTCGGATATTCTGGAACAATATTTTTCGCTTCAGGAATTATTTTAACTGATGTATCGTAAAATCGTTTGACCATAAAATGGAGATTCATATAATCAGCACTTTTTACTTCACGACGTTCAGCCGGAATTCGAGCATGTTCTAAACATAGTAACATATTTATCTAAACTTTTTTCTTATGAACATTCAAATTTGATTCAAAAATATTTTTTTTCAAAAAAATAAAAAATAATTTCATATATTTCATTAGCTTTAAAATAATTTTGAACAATTTAATATACTTTGTACACATATAAATATATGCAAAAATAAGATTAAACAATATATTTTGAAATGAATTATTATCTTTATCAGATTGAAAAATTTATTTTCTAGAATTCATTAAAGATAGTTTTTAATAATACAATTTTGATCGAGACATTTATAATGTTCATTAAATTAAATATAATAGAATTCGAAAGACTTCCGATTAGGATGACGTTTCCTGATTGAAGATCATTTATTAAGATCTGACATTCGAATTTACCAGTTATGACATGTTTGACATGAATATTTTTACTACAATTTAGCAAATGGAAATCAATTGAATGTCTGTGTCATGAAAACAACTTTTGATGAATCTATATTTTAGTTTTAGTTCGAACATATTCATCTATTCTATTTTTATTATTTAATCATCGAACCTTTAAATGATTTCAATCAATAATATTCTGTTTTAACACTTTTTAAACATAAAAATGTCAATTCAATTAAACAAATGTCAAGATAACTTTTTTATTTGTTCTATAATATTATTATTATTATACAATGTATATTATAGCGTCTAGATAAATTTCATAGGGCACTTCGTTTTCTAAACTACTCTTTCGTTAGAATTTTGATAGATACTGTCACCTATCTATAATTAATACTTATTATAAATACAAATATTATCCTAGTTTATTTCTAATACAGCTTATAATGTAACTTGGACACGTTTTACTATTCATATAAAAGAGATTTTTATATAAATATTGTTCATTAGTCAAATAATAGAATATGCGCTTTCATTTTTATTGTTATCCTATTTTTTCGATAATATATCGTAGAATAAATTTATTTAGTTAGATAATTCACTGATATATACATATATATATATTTATTATTATTATTATTAAACTTGTATTTTTTAGATTAATTGTCGACATTTTGATCTTGTTTGAAAGTTGAACTGAACTTCTTAAAAGAAGAAAAATGTTCGATAATTATTTTTTACACAGTAAAAACCAATTATCGATAGAACAGATCCAATCTCCGGTCGAATAATGCGCAACATTCTTTTGCTTTTTCATCATATTAATAAGTGATGATATTCTTAGACACTATTTTACAAATATAAAAATAATCATTACTCAACAAGTAAACTATATAAAGAGATACTAGAAAGACTTTATAGTTAAAAAACGTTCATGGATAATATTTACCTTCAAGATGATCTTTAAGATCAACTGATAAGAATTTCCATAAAGTATCTGCACTAATATGACCTACATTAAGTTCTGATGGAAATCTAAAAAATAAAATTAATATAAAAAAAACAAAATTTGAAAATAATTAAAAATAAATGAAACTAACTGATTAAGTACCAAACTATATCGTTCTCTATCTTCAGATATAATACATGTTAATAAATACATAAGTTGATGCCAAAATTGTAAACTTTTAAGACTAGGACCAATAACATTTATTGTTGTAGATAATGTTTGAATTCCATCTTCATTTTGTTCATTATTATCTGTAATTGATGTTGTTGTCGTTGTTGTTGTTGTTGTTGTTGTATTTGTTTGTTGTTTTGATTCTCGTTTATAAACTTCATCACAATTAGCAAATAAAAAATTGTATGTATGACGAATACAATTTTTGACACAATCTTTAACAACACCCGATGCACGTGGTGGTGAACTTAATTCTTGAACCTGAACATTATGATTAAAAAAACAAAAGCAATAAGGACTTGGTAAATGTTCATGAATATTTGCTATATCATTCATTAGTTTTTCGATGTCAACAACAAGCACTTACATATAAATATTGTTAACAACAAGAGGAATAACACTATTTATGTTTTCATTATTTCCGTTAAAGAGTAACCCAATGAGAAAGAAAGAATGAGAAAAAAAATCCATTTCCGCTCATTTTTTTTTCTTCTTATCACGAATGATAAAAAAAAAAAAAAAGAAAAGATAAACAAAAGAAATGATCATTATAAAACGATTCAATGAATACTTCTATCTTATTTAAAATACAGGCATAAAAATCCATTGATTTCATGCAGTCAAACCATGCTAAAACTTACCCGATTATTGATCGATACTCGAAAAGGAATAACTCTTCCAAACTAAGAATATTTTATTATATTCTACATTTTTTTTTAATTTTTTTTCTCGATCGATAATTTTTAAAAAATTCGAAAATAATAAATTACCTTCATACGAAAAAATGTTATAGAAGTTAGAAGATCAACTGTTGATTTTAAATCTTGCATTCGATCCATACTTGATGAAGGAAAATTATTCTAATTATTAACAAAACTAATTTATTTAAAACAAATCAAAAGATTATATTTCATACTCGATACATAGATAAATCAATACGAATTGCATTGTGTAATTGATCAAGTAGTTTTATAAATTTTTCTTTCTAAAAAAAAAGATAAAGAAAAAGATAATACATTATTATCATAGTCAAAAGTTTAGCATAATATTGAATTTTGATACATCAATCTATTGAATAATTCTTTGTTACTCATTGAAGTTTATATATAGATAAATTGAATAATATACGAAATTATTATAATCTTAGAAAAGAATCGAATAGTCTTATCAAATCTGGAGTTCAAAAATCAGTAAATCTACAACCATAAACAATAAGAAGTTTATCAGGCGATTCTTTTTTCTTTTTAAATCAACAAGAAAATCAAAAGACTTTTATTTTAAGTCATAGGAACATTCAGAAATTTTTTTTGCGGAAGAACAATGAAAGATCCGATCTGTTAAGTGTTTTTATTTTTTGTCATATTAACTCATATAGCGGAAATATTTTCTTAGAAATCCTCTTGAATGAAACAAAAAAGTTAATGTTAAAAACTTCTATCATCGGTCATTCCAGGATCGTTCAGTTCAATTGAAATATACAAAAACCAATAGAAAATAAAAGTCAATTCATAACCCAATATTAACTAGAAATAATTACTATAGATGAAAAATAAGTTATTTCCCATGTGATTTGTCACAGTTTTGAAACATAACTATATTGTTTTGAAAAAATAATTTTTGTTTTAAAGAGATATTAATTACCAAAGAAATAATTACAATATTTGCTTCATTAATAGTCAATATTTTACTTTTATTTTATATTCTACTCTGACAAAGTCATATACCAATCGGTTTCAGTTGTTATTTAAAAGAAATTTCATAGGATTGAAAACATTCCTCCAAAAAAACTATAGTTCTCTTTTTCTTTTTTCTTATTTTTTTCTTATTGATTCATATTATCTTTAAAAGTTAAATTAAAAACTGATGATTTAGAAGAAATAAAGAAAAAATCTTAAAAATCAATTTCTGAAATGAGAAAAATCTCTTAAATTAAACGATTTCGTATACCTGAAATCGTACTGACAAAGTTTTACTGTAATAAAATGAGTTGCTTCGTCAGATAATCTATAGATACTATAGAAATTATTGTTCCGACAAGTCGAAAATGAGACAAGTTTCAAACAAATGGTTTGATATCAAAATAGATTTCTATAGAATCTAGGTAAGCAATAATCATTCAGATAGACTTACATCTCAATACCAATTAGATTTACTTGCATAACTCATTAAGTATTTTTATTGTTAAATCTAACGAATCAAAATTAGAAAATTTATATTATTAAAGTGAAATTGTCTCGAATTAAAATAAACATAGGAATATTATTTCAAACACAAACAAATAAATATTTTTCAATAATATTCTTTTTATGAAAATAATATATATATAAAAGAAACGAATTATAATCAACTTTAAAACTTACTCCAAAATTCGAAGCAGCAAATTGATCTGCAGCTGATACTGCAGTCGTTGCTGTTGTATGTGCATAGTAAGCATTGATATTAGCCAATAGTGTACTCATCACAGCAGGAACACCGGGACACATATATTTTGTTGATAAACATGCAAAATGACTATTCATCAAAAAAGAAAACAACAAAATTATTTATTTTGACAGAAAAACAAAAAATTATTTTCATAAAAACATACGTCATTGCTTGATAAATTGATTCAATACCATAACGAATAGCAAATTCATTAACTATTTCTTGAGAAGGTTCATCAAAATAAACTTTCCATGCATCATCCTTTTATATAAAAATTATTTATTTAAAACAATAAAAAAAAAAGAAAAAAAAAGAAAAAAGAAAAGTCGAATCATTACTCCTTTAGCTTCTGGAATAATAGGTTGACCATTATTATTTTCACATAATGTATAAAATAAATTTTCATGTAAACAAGTATATTGTGCATGATATGGAGCTACTTTTTCTTCTCCTTTTATTTCAACTGAAATATGAAGACGAATAGCACCAGAAACAGCTGATTTATCTGTTCGTTTTTCTAAATTATACCAAACATCCATTTCACCCGATAATGTTCGAACTTCAATTATTGTTTGTCCAAGAAAATCATCTGATTCTCGAGTTAATTTTTGCATTAATTTAGCTCGTATATCATCATCTTCATCCCTATTTTAAATAATTATATTTTTTATTTAAACAATATAAAATATATTTTAAATAAATCTTACCATACTCGAACTTTAATTCGATCACATGAATTATGACATTCACTAAAATAAATAACAAATACGTTTTTGTTTTTTTTTCTTTAAATAAATTTTTTTTTTTTATTTGAAATTACAAGAAAAATTTTTCATTCCATGTTGGATTTAATTCGGAATAAACTGTTTTAGTACGTTTTTTTACTTTTCCAACTTGAACAGTTACATATGGATCTGATGTTCCAGATTTATCTTTAGCTATTAAACCTTGAGCACTTATCACTAAAATCAATTTTTAAAATATGAAACAAAACAAAACAAAAAATTAATAGAAAATATTAATATATTAGTTTACCAGTTATCGCCAATTTGGCTGACCACTTTGATGTACCATCGAGTACACTTTGTTTAACAGCTTTCATATGACCAACATGAGATTTTTCATCAACATTAAATACATCCCTTTATATTTAAATTTAGATTTGATTATTATTTTCAAAATTTTTCTATGAAAATAATATTCAAAAAAAAAGAAGAAAATAAATTTTACCTGATTGTCTTAAATAAAAGAGGTCGTGTAGTTTCCCTGAGTGTCATTTTTTCATGCATCGCTTCCATTAAATTTTTTGCCTTGTCATCGGCACCATGTTTGGCATTTTTCTGTGCACGTCCTATATGTACATACAAATGAAATAATAGTGTTCAAAATATTGACATCATCATTATCATCAATATGATTAAAAATATTTAAGAATTTGAAAAATGATAGTTACACTTGGAAAAACAAGCAAATGGTTCATTTTTAAATTATTTATTTTCAATATAAGCAACTGATCGAGATGAAATAAAGGGAAATAGCGTGCAGAATTCAAAGCATTTTGAAAATAAATTAAAGTTTTGTTGAAATAAAGAGGAGAATGGCAAAGAATAAAATGCAATGTATTTTATTATCTCTATACTCCTTCATACGTTGCTCCTCGACGGTCATGTAATAAATCTCTTCTGGATCATCATTCGGATAAACCACGTGAACTAGTGAAACTGAAACAACAATGACATGCACTGCAATGTGTGTCGAACAGACAAAACGTGTGAAAAAAGAAATTAAATAAAAAGCTTAATTTTCGTAATACAACAACAAAAAATCAATAATAATAATAATAATAATAACATCAAGGAAAAATAATTTTTTGATAAAAACAAAAAAAATAATTAAAATAAAAAAAACTGCTCACGTTGAAGACAATCAGCATTAAGAAGATCTTTGCATTTTTCATGACATTTAACGCCACATTCTCGACATTTTAAACCTTGTCTTGCAATACCCCATAGGAGTCCTTCACATTCATAACAATATGTTGGATGTGTAAATGAACAAAATTCAAAATCATGAGGAGTTGTTAATGAAATTGGATAAATTAATGCTTGAAGAGTTTTTTTATATACATGTGTGCGCTATAATTATATATTAAGAGAAAAAAAAAAAAAAACAAACAAACAAATTAATTATTAATTAAAATAATAAAATTTAAAGATAATTATTTACAAGCTCTTCATCGTTTAAATTATGTCTTCCAATTGCACTTGGAACTCCTGCTGATCGTTTACTAAGTGATAAACCCTTTAAAAAACAACACACAAAAGAAAATATATTTAAGAAATTTTAATTTTAATTATTTAATACCATATCAAGACCCAATGGAACAGTTTTTCCTCGTTCAGGTATATCCGGTGCACTATCAATACAATTATAAAATGCATTATTTGCTTGTTGATCACCGGATACATTCCTAAAATAAAAGAATAAATAAAAAATAAAAAGTTTCATAATCGTTTATTAGATGAATTTTTTTAAAGAAAATATCTGACCACTCGTCTATGTGTGAAGGAAATTGTGAATATCGTCTACTTTTCAATGATTTTTTTGCATTAAATATAAATAATTGTTGTAAATATTCTTGTGTATAACGACGGATAAGTTCATAATGATTATCATTTACATCGTTATCATCATACATTTTAAATTAATAATAATAACAAAAACGTATGTCAAATAGAAAAAATGTTAATATGACAATCCAAAACTATTATGTGTTCCTTTTTTTTTGTAAAGCAAATAATCATTGATCGATCGAGAAAAGTTGTCTAAATTGTTCGGTAAGCAATTATTTTTCTCTTAAAGACGAGTCTTATTCTCATAGAACAAACGAATATAACTTCCTATTTTATTATTTGATCTTTTATTAAACAGAATAAAGAAAAAATTCACAATATCTTTCCTAGAGAAACGTTTACAATAAATAAACGAATGATTATTTTAAAAATTCTATTATTTATGTTAGAAAATTTTTAAATTGATTTATTCTATTAAATTCGATAAAATTTAGTTGAAATCTGACAATTTATTTGATAATTGACAAAGTTATGCTATTTAATTGAATGTGTTCGAACAAATTTTTCGATAGAACATTATGATTGACATATTAAACAACTTGTCAGTAGCTGTATAAGGTTATAATGTCATATGAAAGAATAATATCATATTTCTTATTTGACATAAATCAGAGAAAAAACATTTTATGTTTTATTGAATAAATTAATAATGATAAAACAAAAGAAATATTCTTATTTTAAAAATGAAAACTGTCATATTCTAATATTTTGTTTTTTTTTTGTTTTTTGATAAATATGCATAAGACATATTAATAATTGATTGAATAATAAATAACATTCAATTGAAATTAAATAAACAACAACAAAAAAAAAAAACAAAATGAAATGAAATTTCCCGACATCATTTTCTAGTGAATAACAGAACGACATTTTTGTTTCTCATTAATTATATATGACTGAATGAGTTCTATTAAAACGACATCTCATCATACGGAACAAAGAATAGCTAACAAGACAAAATTTGCCGATCAATTTCTTCAGTACAGTCATCTGAAAATACCATTAAACATACAATATATATACATATATATATTGTTAACAGACGATTCAAGAAAGCTACACATCATCTAAATAAAACTCTCTAACATCTCGTAATCTTTATCATAATGAATCATCAACTTCAACAATTATCATAATTTGTTTCTTAGAACAATTATATTTTGCTTATTAGTTAGACGTTTTCTATACAATATGTAATTATCTTACTAGAAATATGTTAATTTAAATAGATGAACAAAAAAACAAACAAAAATTCAATTATTTACTTCATTGGATTTCATTAGAAAAAGCGAAAGAGTTCATATAGAAAATATATAATGACCTATATTCAGTTTGTAGCGTTAGTTTTTCTTTTTACTTAGAATTTTATCAAAAATATGTTTTGATTATTGGAAAAAGAAGAAGGTAAGAAATATATATGTTACTATCAATTAACATAATATTGTAGGAATTTTTCTTTTATACATATTGAGAGAATTGAGTCATGTATATATTTGTTTTAATCATCGAGAAATTAGAAAAGAAATGAAGGGTAACAAAAAAAAGAGAAATATTCGATTTGAAAATCAATTTTTTGACTTATTAAATATAAATTTGTTTTTAAATTCTTTAACTTTGATTAATGAAAGAGGTAAATGTTAAAAATAAAAAATAAATTATTAATTTTTCTCTTTCAAGATTCTAAAATTAGAAACTTTTTTTTTGCTAACTTATTGATATTATTGATTAATCTGGCACGTTTTCAGGCAAAACTGTTGGATTAATTATTAATTTATCATGATTTTTTTATATAAAAAGTAAAAGCATAGAACATACTTTCCATTGTTAATTCCCCCATTTGTCGTTTTTCCCATTCCATCATCAGTTATTGTGTTATTATGATTATTTGTAATATTAGTTATGCCTGGAAGAATTCTTTTTGTGATCGGCAATCCATCAGAACCAACTATTGTAGAACTGTGCCTTTTATTCGTTCTTTCATCATTAGAATTTTCTGATTTTCCATGAGAATTCTATGAAAATAAAAACACAAAAAGATGAAATGTTACTTTTTTTGTTTTGTTTCATATATAAACAAAAAAAAAACACAAAAATTAATCATTTTTTTTTATATCATTATAAATAATATTCTAAAAAACTCACACAATAATTTTCTGATAAAGATATTTGATCGAATTCTTCATCAATATTTGTTTCATCGTCGAAAGTCTCTTTTCGAGAAAACGAAAAAATTAAATGACGACTAAACTGTTTTGCATATGTACTTAATTTTTGATTTGGTAAAAAATTTGATCGATGATGAAGGTTTTCGTCAGATGAAGAAACTAAATCACCATGTGTTAATGGAGGACATAGTGGTGGACAAACTGGTAAACCATGGATATAATGCATTTTTTCATCTATTTTTATTAGGATGATGGATATTCGCTTATAGTATCATCCTGAAGACAGTTACATCTTCTCTTTTGTCTCTTTTATAAAACATAGAAGAAAGACAAAGGAAAAAAAAAAAGAAAAGAAACGAGAAAGAGAAATACTAGTGTAGAACTTGTTGTTTTTCTCTTTTCTTTCATTCCTCTTGTTGGGCATCGGTAATGTCACGCAATAACTTCCTATGGCCACTAGGACGGCAAAATTTAGCTAAGAAAATAACGGAGAAAAAGAGAAACATCGATAAACCAGATAAAAACACACTTAGCCTATTAAATGAGTAAAGCAACAGTAGGAATAACCGTCAATGTCGATAGATAACGACTAAGAGTAGAGAAAGAAAGGTGTCAAACCAAATAGAAAGCGAATACTAATAACAATCAACATTCTCTTTGTTCTTATGTGTATATTTACTAAAAGAAGAATCTTTTTTGTTTTTTATTTGACATATCTAGTTTCCTTTAGGGAAAATCAATTCATTATAATATTGTTCTTTATATTATTTATCTGACAATTTTTGTATGAGTAATTGAAACGAACAAAAGATATATATATATATATATATATATATTCTACGCCATTCTAATTCATTATTTAAAATAACATAAACAATTTTGAAAAAGATTTAATCAAACAAAAACAAAAAACAAAACAAATATTTATAAAAGTTCTTTGTTAAAGGAAACATATCTTGTTTCAAGTCTTGAACTTTTTGTTTTGTTTTGTTTTTTTAATTTGGAGCGACGAAATGCAATCAGCCTTAAATAATAATCAAGGGACTTGACAAAAAAAAAACAAACAAACAAACAAACAAGAATGAAGTATCTCTTGAGCTTCTTCATATTAATTGGAACTATCATTTTCATCAAACGTCACAAGGACAAAAAATAGGAAAAGACCTGTCTATTTTTATACTTATCTATATTTCTAAACGATTGATCATTACGATAATATTCAGTAGAGTAAAAAATAATTAACAAAAAAGTTTTTTTTTTTTTTCTAAAATATTTGAAAATTGAAGTTAAACAAGAATAATAACAAAGAGAGAAAAAAAAAAAAATTTTTAAGCGTTG